TATACATATATATACATGTACACACAAATTTGTAGGGTCCCAGTAAATCAGCAGTGCTTAAAGGGACCACCCTCTGAATTAAAAGTTCAAAAAAAATATATAATTTCTAAAAAAGTCACCCAAGTATTGCTTCCATGTTTACACATGCAGCATTCAAAACAAAACTCAAAGAAATGTTTATTCTTAGCACCTTTCATTCGCATGAGTAATTGTGAGATGCAAAAACATGGTATACAGTACTTAACCCATTTTTTATAAAGGTTCAAACAGAACACACCTTCTGAGGGTAAGTTCATTCTGCCAGTTGTATAACTGTTGCAATATATACATACCATATCTCCTGACCCATCTTTGACAACAAGTTCACAAACTATATTCTGTGTACAAGATTTATTCAATATTTCCTGTAATAATATTGTATTAAGATTGGTGTCGCCTTTAATTTATGCCATTCCGTAATCAGAAATTTTCGGTCTCTACTTTTAAAATTTAACAGTTTTGAATTTGGAAAGCTTGAAGGGAAAGTAATAATAATAATAATAATAAAAAGAACATTTATACAGTTATAAGTATTGATTGCAATCCAAATATGAACATATATACTAAGGTTTAACACAATAAAAACTTATTGTTTTAACAGTATTGTTTCTTTTTATATATATATATATATATATATTTCAGATTAAATTTACTTTTTGAATTCATCTGTGTGATTTATTGTTAAAAGATGTACCAAGGTAAACTTAGAAGACAAAATTTAATTCTTCAATTGCTTAAACACCTGTATTTCAGCAGGTTTAAACTTGTATTATTAAGATTTATATAGTTTATAACCATTTAAATAATTGGGTTTCCTCACTTTTATATCAGCCATCACTCCAGATGGAAAATCAACTCAGCAGTCAAACAGCATTAATTATGATGATGCTGATAATAAATTATGATGATTTAAGATGATGCAGACTGATGATGATAATAATGGCGACGGTTAAGATGGTGAAAATTACAATGGCAATCTTAATGACGATGATAATATGACAGTGCTAATGATAGTGATTATTATGAAGATGACGATGTCTTAATATCATTTAATTAAACAACAAATTACTTAATCAAATATAACTTAATTTATAAATGAGACATTGAATAAAAAAATTAATTTTTGCTGAATTCACTTTTACTAGAAAATAATTAAATCCATTATTAATACAACTGTCTGTTAATTAAGTGTTTTTGCTCAAATGTTTCATTGAAAATAATAACTTAATATACAAAGTTGAGTTTTATTTTAATAACTGAACTTTAGAGACGGTATAATTAATAATGCGTGCCTTTTCAATTGAAAATAATAACTTAAAATACAAAGTTGAATTTTATTTTATTAGCTGAACTTTAGAGACGGTATAATTAATAATGCGTGCTAATTTAATCAATAATGAGA